GTCTGGGCGACAGAGTGAGACTCCAACTCAAAAAAAAAAGAAAAGAAAAGAAAAGAAAAGCATTCCAAGTAGAGGGAACAGCAAGTGCAAAGACCCTGAGGCAGGATGTCCTTGGTGTATTCCAGGAACCAGGAAGAGGCTGGTGTGGATGAGGCAGAGTGAGCAGGGGCTAGGGTGGTGTGAGATGGGGCGGGGAGGGGGGCGGCTTGGATTTTGAAAGACTTCTAGGCTTGGCAAGTGTTTGGGGGTCCGCGGAGGGTTCTGAGTCATAGTTACCAGAAAAAACAAGGCTCCCCTTTACAATGCAAATTACAGGTAAACAGCAGTCACAGCAACAAAATTCGCTGGGCACAGTGGCTCATGCCTGCCATCCCAGCACTTTGAGAGGCAGAGGCGAAAGGATTGCCTGAGCCCAGGGGTTCGAGACCAGCCTGGGCAACTTGGCAAGTCCTCGCCTCTACAATAAATAAAAATTTTAGCCAGGCATGGTGGCACACACCTGTGGTTCTAGCTACTTGGAAGGCTGAGGCAGAAGGATTGCCTGAGCCCAGTGGGTTGAGGCTGTGGTGGCAGTGAGTATGCCACTGCACTTCAGCCTGGGCGACAGAGTGAGACTCCGACTCAAAAAAAAAAGAAAAAAAATCATTTTAGTGTCAGTATGTCCCATGTAATCCTTGTCCCAAGGAACAGTTATTTGTGTGTCTCTGAAACTCAAAGTTAACTGGGCATTCTGTAATGTGTGTGTGTGTGTGTGTGTGTGTGTGTGTGTGTGTGTGTGTGTGCACGCGCGCGCTTCATCAGGTGACCTTATGCTGAGCAGAAGATGGCCTTGATCTTGATCTTGGGTTTTAATAGGACCCCTCTGGTTGCTGGTGGAGATTAGACTCTGGGAGTGGAAAGTGAAGAACCCATTGAGGAGGCAACTGCAGTAGTCCTAGCAAGAAGTGGTAGATTAGGATCAGGGTAACAGAGTCAAGGCAGTGAGAGGTTGACATGTTGTGGATCTATGTTGAGGGAAAGACCATATCCAGGCTTTTAGCTTGGCATTCAAGTCTCTTCTCTGCCATCGAACACACTTAATTCCTAGCTTCTCAGATCCTGTTGCAGACAGAGTAATGTCCCCCAGTGACGTCTGCATCCTAATCCCCTGAACCTGTGATTATGTGACCTCAGAAGGGAAAAGGGACTTTGCAGGTATGACTAAGCACAGGATCTTGAAATGGGGAGAGGATCTTGGATTGTCTGGGTAGCACGCGGCTCCTGTTTTTACAAGGGAAGCTGGAGGGTCAGAGTCAGGAGCAGGTGAGGAGGGACTGAGAAAGGCAGGCAGCCTCTGGAAGCTGGAAAAGGCAGAAAACAGATTCTCCAACGCTCCCAGAAGGAACACACACCTGTTGACATCTTTTTTGTTGTTTTTTTGGGGGGAGGGTTTGAGTCGGGGTCTCACTCTGTGACCCAAGGTGGAGTGCAGTGGTGTGATCACGACTCACCACTGCCTCAACCTCTACCTGAGCTCAGGTGATCCTCCCACCTCAGCCTCCCAAGTACCTGGGACTACAGGCATGCACCACCACGCCTGAAAACTTTTTACTTTTTTGTCTCACTATGTTGCCCAGACTGGTCTTGAACTGGACTCAAGCCATCCTCCTCTTTCAACCTCCCAAGCAGCTGGGACTATAGGCGTGCCATCACATCTGACTTACTTTTTGTAGATGTGAGGTCTTGCTATGTTGCCCAGGCTGGTCTCAAACTTCTGGGCTCAAGCGATCCTCCTCAGCCTCCCAAAGTACTGGGATTCCAGGCTTGTGCCACCGTGCCTGGTTGTTACTTTTATTTTAGACTTCTGGTCTCCAAAGCTTTAAGAGAATACTTTTGTATTGTTTTGAGACACTACGTTTGGGGTCATTTGTTACAGCAACCATTGACGGCTAATACATACCTTCTGGGCCGTATTACTTTCAAGCCTCTGGGTTTTTTCTCATGGTGCCATTGCCTAGAATGTCCTTCTGGTCTAGGCTGGTCAGTTCCGGAATCACTAACCCCCAGTGGTCATGATAATTAAAAGTAAGTAAAGTTCGTGACCCACCCGGGCAACTTGGCGAGACCTCATCTCTACAATAAATAAAAAATTAGCCGGGCGTGGTAGCACGTGCCTGTAGTTCCAGCTACGTGGAAGGCTGAGGTGGAAGGATCACCAGAGCCCAGCAGGTCGAGGCTGCTGTGGCCAGGAGAGGCCACTGCACTCCAGTCTGGGCCACAGAGTGAGACTCCAACTCAAAAAAAAAAAAGAAGTAAAATGTGGCCAGGCTCGGTGGCTCAGCCTGTAATCTCAGCACTTTGGGAGGCCAAGGTGAGTGGATTGCCTGAGTCCGTGGTTTTGAGACACGCCTGGGCAACTTGACGAGACCTCACCTCTACAATAAATAAAAAATTAGCTGGGTGTGGTAGCGCGCGCCTGTAGTTCCAGCTACTTGGAAGGCTGAGGAGGAAGGATCGCCGGAGCCCAGCAGGTCGAGGCTGCGGTGGCCGGGAGCGGCCATTGCACTCCAGTCTGGGTGACAGAGTGAGACTCAAACTCAAACTCAAACTCAAAAAAAAAAG